TGCCATTCCCCGTGTTATCCGTGTATCTCCCATTAGTAGGGGACGTGAGCAGTCTAATAGCCTCCGTTGCCGTGGTAATGATATCCCGAAGCTGAGATGGACCACGTCGCCTTGGTGGATAAACGGGATTCTTGACGCAGCAGCTGACCCTGACGTTTACCGTGGTGGTTGTTGCCGCTTCCCACCTGTCGTCCAGTCACTGTCAGTCCTCCCGTTGCGAAAGTCAAAAGGCATTGGCATTCCTCGCTTGGAGCAGGCCATAGTACTTACCAGAGCAAAGATGTATCTGCCAAGTCCTGGTTTGCCAAGCCGTGATGGTTAGTATCCTTGGTATGGTAATTGTCCGTGCAACAACGTTTGACGAGCAACGTCAATCGATCGAACCTAAAGACCCTTCACCCGCCAACCAACACGCTGTCAACTACCGTTTTCTACCAAATGACGCGGTTGTCAATCCTTTGTTCTACTTCTTTGATTCTTATTCTGATTGTTAACAACGATCTCCAACAACCAATAATTCCCAATATCTATTTTTGTTGTTGTTGTAAAATGCGGAAAGAAAGGTGGTTCTTGTACCTGAAACTTGTTGTAAGATTATTAAAAGAGCACTACAAATTGGTCAATTTTACCACAAAGTGACTTTGTTTGTAGCTATAAGTACCTTTGTGTGCCTAAAGAACTTTTTGAGTTTTGCAGATTGCGCTTTTTTATTTCTTTTTTTGTTATTGTTTAGAGTAACATATCCCCTAGAAACGTTACAAATACCTAAATCTTATAATAAGTGACAGCTGTGCACTATTTACTTTTTTTACAAATATTTTTATTACAAAATAAACACAACACGTAAAACCGATCACAGCCGAGTAAAAAGAGCTCTTGTCTCCTTTTATATTACGTATGTATAGCCCACAAAAAAAGTGTTACCAGGTGATATTTGAACTCGCGTCAAAATGACGGTAGGCAAACACAATACTTTTCCGCAAACCTCTTGAGGAATATGACAGACAAAAAAGCGAAAATTTGAATTTAATTGATTTTAAAGAAGAAATTACATCACCACCAACGTCAGTTGAAAGTAACTTTGTACCACAGCCGCTTACAAATTTGGTGAGGGGTTTTACGCGGTACCCGGGACTGTGTACAAAAGTTTCCTTTTTCCCAGGCCACACTGGGGAAGGTCACGGTCTGGGACGTCAGCCCCGGGTCAGCGTCACGGACTGCGTCGGAGGCCGGAAAAGACACAAATGGTGAGCGTGGAACGGCAACTGCATACGAGCGAGTGAACAAAGCAAAAAAGAAGGAAAAACGAAAAAGCACTAAAAAATACAGGAAGAGGTATGGAAAACGTGGAGGAGTGGGAGAACAAAAGGAACGAGGCGGAAAAGACATGAAACAATAAAGGGGCAAGTAAAAGCAGCCACGAAACAAAAATGAAGGCGCTGGAAAGAGGTGGAGGACACGGAACGTAGGAGAACAGTATAAAACTGGAAGGGAAAACTGGAAAACAGTTGCACGAGGGTATGGGGCTGATATATATAAGGGTCCGTAGACCCGGGTCAAATAAATTGACCAAACATAACCGCCAAAAGCAAAAATGAAAGCTTCGCGTACCAATATAGTACAGAGACTGTATCGATAATTTTTTTGTTTTTTTGATGGATGCCCCGACCAATCGCATCTACTCTGGGACCAACTCCATTTCTTCCATTTCCACTCCACCCCAACCCAACAACAAAACCAGAAACAATTACTAGGAGCTTGTGAAGAGATTGATTGCTGGAGAGCTGGCTAGCTTAATTAATGTATATCCTGATAAATGAATGCATTATTGATGATACGTTCTGCCGTATGAATCTTTTGGGAAGAACGCGGCTTTGTAGGGGCAGGGAGCTGATAGGGGCCGGATAGTTTTGTTTTTGTTTTTATTTTTTACATACAGCCAGATAAGTTTAAGGAAATGGCTTTGGTTCCCTACACACCCTCCGAGTGGTGTGATATTGGCGCCCGTCTCTGGGACATGGTGTGCCAATGTGGCGACACCCAGGTGCAGATGACGTTCATTAATGGTAACCATATGTAGGATGAGACGGTGACCGTGGCCGCATCATCCACAGGCTTATGCTTGCTCATGGACCTCTCTCTAAGGCATGGAAGGATTCTACTCTCGTTGGCCGTATTGCAAATCTCCGCGCGCCTCGGATCCCTAATTTCAAGACACAAGTGCTCCTGCCCGCTATGGGGGCAGCCCGGGAGTTGGGGCACCAACAAGGGCTCATCACTGCTGAAAGGGAACGTCTGAATATTGATTGCGCGAACGCCGTAGCGGACGTGCGGAATCGAAATGCTCAGCTTAACTCGCAGGTTGAGGAGGCGCACATTAACCTATCGGTAAGGGAATCCACTATCGCCGGGGCCGGCAACCAGGTCCTAGAACTACAACAGCAGTTGGAAAACACTCGCGCCCAATTACGGGAGCGCGAATTCAACTTGGGAAGGCTCACTGGTCAACTCCAGGAACGGGAGGCACTCCACAATGCACAACAACCCGCGCGGGATGCGGAGACGGCGGGGCGGGACGATGCCCCCGCCACGCGATACGCTGCCAACGATGGCGTATCTACACTACCGCATCAAACTGATCTTTTGATGGCTGGAGGTGTGCCTAGCAGCGCCGCCCGACACAGTTCAGCAGCTTACAGACGCCCTCACGGTAATGCTGCGAGACCACATTTCCACCCTTCCACGCCGTTGCCTTACCGCGCTTCTCCCCTGGACGCCCAATTACCCATGGAAGAGGACCGCAGTTTCTGCGCATTCGACGTCACTACGTGGCCATCGCGCATATGGAATGAGGGCGCCTCCGGAGTCATTATCGACCTCCGGTGCGCATACCAATGCTGGCAACAGGACAACGAGAAGGTTGAACTTGCCTTTGACAATTTGGTTGAGTGGATCGGCGTGCTGGACGGCGGGCAGGATCCCACCGATCGGCTCATGAATTTGGGGAGGTCCCTACTGAATACATTCCGGATGCAGCTCATGATGGCATCCAATCCCGGCATCCGGCTTTCCAAAGTACGCGCCCGTCCTTACACCGCTGTTCACCAGATGGACGCTTATGCGAGGGCAGCCCAGCTTCTTGTCGATCGGCGAGAAACCCAACGCACTGTGCGATGCCAACGTTGTCATACCTATGGACACGAGGCTTCTACATGCAATGTGCGTCCGAGAGGGAATTACTTACAACACAGGCGCCCATCAACAAACGGCAGAGGGGCTGCCGCACGCCGCTCATGAATGCTGGCGACGGCAGCCCCATCCAACCCGCCACCTCCCACCAATCCTCACAGGCGGCGCGGTGCGCTGCCTATGCTCCACCCGATCTTTCAAATTGCCCGACGATTACGTCGGGAAGGGCAACGGAGCTTATCCGTAAACGACGCCCGACTGTGGTACGACGAATTACCGACATCCCCGCTTTGGGCCGGCCACAAAAGGAGGGCGAACGAGGTGGCTCGAGAGATGTGGGCGCCGTCAACGTGGGAGCGGGGAATGTCCCTAGCGGGGCAATTCACAACCTTTTGCCGCATGCACAAACGGCCAATGAACGAGGAGAGCTGCGCGGCCTTTTTGATGGCAATCGAAGTGGCGCCATCGACCCGACTGCAGTACGCCACGATGCTGCGGTCCATGTTGGAAATGGATCAAACCCCGCTGGGCATGGTGGTTCTGGGGTTATAAAAAATTGCGGCGCGATCGGTGGTGAAGCAGGCGCGCCCCTTGACAAAGGAAGGGATAGGTCAATTTATCCGCGGCCGAACCGATTGGAGGGAACGTGTTGTCTTACGACTCGCGTGGATAACGGCGAGCTGTTGGTTTGAGATTGCGGCCGTGACTCCCAACAATTCCACAATGGAGGCGGACGGGACCATAATTTCGGATTGGTCCGTGGCGCCGAGGACGGCGAGGGCGGATCCCCACCGCGCCTTTCGGTTCGTCCGGATACGAGGGCAGGACGCCTTCGACACTATAAAGCTATGCAGGACACTTTAAGAAAACAAAAAGCTTACGGCTCTTACGACTGCCCAAGTCTAACGCACTCTGGCTCCTTGGAATGCCACGGCGCATTCCATAAAACGGGGTGCGTTAAGACACGCTGCTCAAGTCGTGAAGACGTACAATTTGGACCCACACGTGATCTCGCCGTTGGAGAAACACGTCGAACCGGTCGACCCTCCCCAGGACACAGTTCGATATTTGTGGAGGTACACCACACTGCTGACCCAGGTGTCGGCGCTGGTCGCATTGATGTGAAGGGAGAAACGGCGGAAGGACAGGAACCCTGGCTGAGAGCAGAGGAGCGTTTTTTCATGATTTTCATCATCATGCTTCTACAATAACGAGACGCGCGACAAGGAGGCGTCTGGCCGCTCCACAAGATGAATACGTTATCCCGCCACAGCAGGTCAACGTGCCCGTATTGAATCTAGAGTGGATCAAAAGTCGGTTGAACCCGGCTACCTCGGAGAGGCTCATGCAAGTTTGGGGACTCGTCGGGCGGTCCCCTCTCCCTCCGTCTTCCTCCGGTAAAGCGCGTGAAGGCTCACGGAGGATTCCAACCACTGATGCGCATTTGTTACAAACAGCAGGAATAATCGAGGACGATTCGTCCACAATAACAGGCGGATGGATGATACCCTTCTCAGTTGTGGAAGAGAAAACCACCGGTTCACGACGACGATGGATCGCGTGGCCACGCGACAAGAACAGAGACGACCCTTATGAGGCGAATGTTCCTCTTTTACACATTTCCCATTATTTGCCGCCTGTGATGGCTGAGGCCGCTTCCTGCCTGGATGTGAAGGCATCCTTTTTTCAAGTCTCTTTACCGCGGGAGACTCGGCATCTCTTTCGATGCCGCGTGGACGACGGCACGCTGGTGGAGCTGACACGGCTCCCTGTGGGATACAAGGCCGGCCCAGAAATTCTCCAGATTATTAGCTCGGCAATTGCGGTGGTGACGGCGGTGGTTCACCGCCTCTGGGCTGCATCTTCGTTGGTCCGTATCGACGTATGGATCGGTAATATACGCATTGCAGGGTCAAAAAGCGACGTGACATTGTGGGAAGCCCAAGTGCTTCGTAATGCGGACAGTTGTCACGCATCCTTGGGGGAGGACCGCGAATCGGGCGCTACGCAGTACACCTTCCTGGAGGTGCAGTTTAATCACACTCACCGTGCGGTATCCCTGAGTGACAAGTTTGTCCTGTTTGTATGCGCCATGCCGGCGCCCAATTATTTAACCATCGCGGAAATGGAGGTTGTGGCGTCACGTTTTTTGTACGCGGCGGCCAATTTGTGCACGCGTTTATGCGACTACTACTCTTTCATCAAGGCAGTGCGACGACGATTGTCCGAACTTAACCGGGGACTGTGCAGTAGACATCCCCGGCCAACCGTCCGCCGGCAGCGGTTGGTTTGGGCAAAAGATTGCGACACATCATCGAGAACAATCGTAAGCGAACCATCAGGCCCACGGAGAAGGCATCGGCCGCCATCATCACGGATGCATCGCTCCATGGATGGGGAGCCGTTTTTATTCCAGACTCCGGCGACGTTTAAATTGCCGGAGGAAATGGGAGAAGAGGAAGCCTTTTCTTATCATGCAGGCCAAGGCATGTGCGGTACGCCTAGGCTTATCGGCCTTTCCCGCCATCTTGCCATCCACCATAGACGTTTGGGTGGACAATACTTCACCGCAAGGAGCTGCGAATAAAGGCAGCTCGAAATCGCACGCGTTGACGTGGGAGCTGCAACGGATATTTGAATTTTTGGACTCTCACGGAATACAGGCTTCCTTTGCCTACGTGCGGTCTGCAGAAAACCCCGCAGACGGCATATCACGCGGTCGTGTGTTTACACTTCAGGACTTGGCGAGGGGGTGGAACTTGCGAAGGGGAGCGGCGGTGTCTTGTGGTTGGAGGACCCCAAAGTCTGCCACCTCGTAAGTAATAATACGTAAATCCCAACTGAGGACAAAGGACCATGCTGGTGGTCCACAGAATTCTATATACTGAATAAAAGAAAAACATTGAAGCAATTACCTAACGAACCTTTTTCCCTAACTTGTTTGGTTTCCATAAATTTTCAGGATCCGGCCCGCGGCCCGGAAGATTATTCCAGGCCCCAAAATGAATTTCCAGACCGGAGAGTGGAGGAGGAGGACGCATTGTCTCCGGAGGGGTGAAAGAAAACGACAAAGATAAACCCGTTGACCGTCCCTTTCACTGGGCGCTTTGTTCCACAAGTATGAGAAGCCACTCTTGACCCTATGTTGTTGGAGCGGCGACTTGCGGTAACAAACTTAGTGATCAACTGCCCACTGTTTGGACTTTTTTTGTTGATCACTAAGAAACAACGGTAAAATGATCCACAAACGTGGATCCCCACACAACAAACGGCTTTGGAATATTATTCACCCCTGCATTTCCTTCCGTTCGCCGGTACAACTCTCGCTGCTTTCTGCGTTGGCGAGTTTCCTTTGTGTGTGAGTTTCTGTCTCCGTATTTTCCTTGACCTCTGTGTTCATTGCCTCTCAGCCACCCACTGGGCGCCCGCGTAGGCGAGTACCCGGGCGCCC